TCCTGCTGAGGTTTCCACTCTGCATGCTAAATGTATTCCTCATTCAGCAGTTTTGTTTCGCTTGTTCCTGACACACACTGTGGATTCACAAATTTGTTTAGATTTTGTTGTGGTTGCAAGGCCTGACTCCTGTCACACCCACACTTGCGCTGAGAGTTCAGGACTGCACTCATCTAAGTAGAACGAGCTGGACAAGCTGGGCGTCAGGCTTAGCAGGGGTACAGTCTCATCTGACCAGTGCTGGGGAAACTACTTTGAAAATGTAGCTTTGCAAACTACCAATTACTTCACACTGGAAGAAGCTAAGCTACAGCAAAGCTACGCTAGAGAGAAATGTAGTTTGGTTAACTAAAGTTACTTAGAAAAAGTAGTTAAAGGGACATCTTTTAATGAAAAGCCGGTGCCGTTGATATCACTGTAATCATGCATTTTACAAAATAAAAAACAGCGTGCCTATGTGGACAAACACCAGCTGAGTGCCGCTGGCCAGAGTAGGATGTGTAATGCTGGGTCAGACACCTCTGCAGGGGGCTGGTGAGTCAGCCATGAGCTGGCAGTGAGTGGGCCGTCAGTGATCAACTTGATTGGCTGCCAGGCCGGTTTGTGTCGCTCTGGCAGATTGTGGTACGACTGATGCAACGCCTGAACACTGACAAAATTCAGTGTTCATACATGTGCACATCAACTGCAGTGTTCAGTCCCACAGCCGAGCACACTGCCGGCGGCACATCCTTCCTTAATGTGCTGTGACCTCTCATTCCAATTGGCCCCGTGTAGAGGTTGTGACCTTCTATTGACATCTCTCTCTTTGACCTCCATCACATCACCCAGGATACTGAGGACTGTAACAGCACAATGGAGCAGGCATTATTCATACAACCATGCAAATAACCAGAGGCTTGTCTTCCTTTTCTCAGCGTTAATTGCTTTTTCCATGTATACAGACTTCAGGAGAGAGGAGAGGAGGGAAAACACCGCTTTTAGCATAAAAACCCACTTCCCAATGTTCTCTGATACCTTTCAGGGTGAGAGTTTATTAAGGCAACAGTCTTATAAAAGACAGGCCAGCCCCAGCTGTCCACTGGCAGATGGTACTGAGTGATGTGAGAGGGGAGGAGGGATGGCACTCAACCTCTGGAGTTTCTCCAAAACTGTCTCACCTACTGTCATAAATAAGTGTATAAGATTGTATTACTGGAACCCAACTTCTGTCTAAACTGTTTTGTGGTATGGCGGGTTATTTTCAACAAATGCTGTTTCAGAAGTCATTTTCTGGCAGACAACGCTTTGTCTACAAGTTTGTTTTATTTTCTGACCAAAATGGAGCTGGAAGCACAATTAGGAGATTGACCCATTTTTCTTTATTGTTTTCATCAGACCTGTTCTATTCAGGTCAAAGTACTGAATGTATCACCAGCAGAGTGTTACCTAACACAGTACACGGCCTGTTTTAAACAGCTGGGTCACATTGTGCAGCTTAGGGATAGAATGCTGCATCACTTTTCTGAGATGCTCCAACAGTAGCAGGCCGCTGGGGGTTTGGGGGGGTGATGTTCAGGAGGACAAATGAGCAGTTTAAACCTGTCACTCTTTTGTGTTTCAGAGACGTACCATACATGGCTCCTCCAGGTGAATGATTGACACTGGCTTTTGGTTTAACATGTTATTCCAATACATCATTTGAACAGCACTGCTGTCTTTGCTTACCTCTGCCTTGGTCGTTCCACTGAGCTCGGTCATCGCAGGTGAGATGATCTGCTTGAAAGTGGAGGGGCTCCGTGACCTACCAGCCTGCAGGGCAGTGGGGGTTGGCTGGGGGACACCAGTGGGTTGCTTGTTGGAGGCAACAGATGGGATGAATTGTTCCCCCCGATGCGGCCCTATGGACCTGTGGACCTCCCCGCTGTAGGCAGCCTGGTAGCTGGTCTCACACAGGATATGGGTGGCCTCGGTCCCTGGGCTGGAATATTGAGCTGGAGGGTTTTTCCTTGCACTTTTGGCTGGTTTCACCCCTGTCCATGGTCTGTACTCTTGCCTGAAAGAAGAGAGATGCATCAGTAGGCTGACAGAGGCTCAGTACAGGCAAAGTTTGCATCAGGCTTGCTTTTAAAGTGATGCCTTGAGGCAGGTGTGACTTGAAGGGGCACTTTACATTTTAGATGTTCAGTTTACTTGTCATGGGCAGTACTTAGCCTGTGAAAACAAGTGTAAAATGTTTTCTGTGGCTTATTTAGGGGCCTTCCTAAAGCCTGAGAAAGTATCCCTGATGATGTCATCAGATTCGGGTTAAGATAAGCAAATGATGTTTTTCTTTTCCTCTGTTAAGTTTTTAAATTAGTTTAACTTCTTCATGCTTTTAATGGATAAATCTTGAGAAGACAGGAGTCACTTTAAGTGGCCACAAGTCAGAACACTGCTGCCCCCACACAAAAAATAAAAAAATAAAACCTATTTAACATTCATACTTTAGCTCAGCCATATGTGAAATGTGTGAGAGAATTACTGATCGCCTCCTTCTTTATGCAGCCTAGCTGGAACGACTCTGGAAGTCACTGAACTATTAATAAAACGCATCTAATTAAATATGAAGGAGTGCATCAGCACATCACCAGCCCCATTTGTCCTGACTGCTCCAAAATCAGATGAAGTGACAGCGACAGGTGCTGAAACAAGTGCAAGAGGATGACCTGCCTGTAGGAGCTGATCTTGCTCTCCCCCATCACCTGCTGCTCCACCGACCTCTGCCCCCTGCCTCGCTCCTCTCTCTCCCCCAGGGGTGCCTGGCTGTGGTAAGTGTTCCCCGGGCTGTCCGAAACACTGTAACCCTTGCTCCCCCCGTTACTAATCCAAGGAAAATTCTCCTTCCTGGGAATGGGCCAGGGTTTGAAATCCTGTTTGTACTGGGTCATACTAGGGAAGGGCACTCCTGGAGGGTGGTAGCCCTCCCGGGGCTTGTAGCTGGGCTCCTTTCGTGCCCTGAAAGATCCTCGGGTCGCCGGGCCATCTCTAGGCGCCTGGGGGGAACCGGCGGTACGCAGGTCTGGAGTTGAGTAGTTATTCCCGGGTGCGCGCTCCAAGGCGGAGACCTGCTTGGTGACGGACCGCACCTCCTGCTCGGCGATGTCCGAGTAGTTCTGGATGGTGAGCGGGACAGAGAGGTCCGATTTGTCGAACTGGTTCCAGAAGCGAGCCAAGCAGCACACTCTGCTGATGCACGGCCAAGCCATACTCCCCGACTATTAGACTATTTAGAAGAAGGAAAAAATCAAACAAAAAGAAAGAAAAACGACAAGAGATCAAAGGTTACATTCAGACAGACCATCGCCCTCTCCCCGTGCCCGTTTCTGGGAAGCTGGGAGCGCCCAGTGTCCAAGAGTCCATGTCAGCAGCAGAGGAGCGCCAGCAGAGATGGAGCGGTCCGTCGGGGACCGTCAGTGAATATTCCTCTCACGTGGTCTGTGATAGTGCCTCCACTATGCAGAGGAATCTGTGGCAAATTATTCTCCGCATTTCTAACCGGATCCCGAGAGTCTGCATCGGTCTCAGTGGATTCAAAACCAAACGAACGGGGTCATTTTCCTCCCCTATCTGCGCCCACCTGGAGCCCGAAATGTTTTACGACATCTCCACTTGCCCTCACTAAAATGAATCTACCTGAACTGTTGAGGTTACATAATTATGATGCAGCTTCAAACGTAGGCTGCCGTTTCCACTTCAACATCAAGCTCTGAGCATCTTAGTGTGTGGAGACAAATTTTTCCTTGCCTCACACTTTCAGATGCTTATTGCCATGTGTTCGTGTGGGCTCAGAGAAAATAAACAGTGCTTTATGGGCTTACAGTAGACTATTTAATGTGTTTATCCAAAGAAATAGTGCTTTAAAATTAGACTCCTCTGTTTCAGTCTTTTCACATTAGAACTGGCAGATACTGTCATGGGTTACTGATGCACTAAGGTTAGAGTGTTTCCTACTGTGACAAGTCAAAACAGCCACACTGAAAAACATCTCTCAGTAGGAAAAATATCTTTACAAGATTTTTTTTTTTTACTACTTACACTTTGGGTTATATAGTGTAAAAAAAGCAGCATAATAACCAGTGTAAAAAAAAAGTTGCTCTCACAGGTTCATTGCAGGTTATTTGTGAGAGATACAAGTCCAGATATCTCATCCTCTGCTTTTTAGAAATTTGTCTCTCCATCTTATGAAGATGTTAAATTGTGAGAATAAACCTATTTCTACATGTTATTATGAGTGTTTGGATCACTTATTGGGTCATAAGAATGATCAACACAGTGACCGTGCTCACAGTAACCCTGTGTGAGCCTATTTTGATATTACTCATTCAAGGCAAACATATTTTTTATCGGTGGCATAGAGCTGGGGCTTTTCTACAGAAAGCCTACACGGACCCATTGTAGGTTAGCCCATGGGGGGCCTGGAGTATTATTAGACTCTGGGCCACCATGTTGGTTTTCTATAGGGCTCACAGCTTGTAAGTTGCTGCTCATCTCAGGCCAGACAATATACTATATGTTATAGAAAAGACTCACAAGTTCTTTGCTGAAACAGACTAAAACAATGTTTACTTTTTGTGTTGAAATGTGAAATAGTATAACATTCTTGTTTTTGGCTTTGACACCAGAGAGTTGTCTAAAAGTAACATGGAAAAATGATCTATTTTGCATATCTTGGCACAAATACTCCTCAACATTAGACCCATAACTCTTTAAATGGTATTAGAAATGGATGAAGAGACTTGAGTGTGCTCTGATTCTTCTAAGATAACTGATTTGTCCCCCAGCTGGTGGCTTAGCTATAAAGAACATTAGTCATAAAAGATATTCTCATGCACTGAAGGCATAAGAATATCCTTCCTCTCCAGGTTGTCAGTGAAGTGTTTGTAGCTGCTCAGGTGCATTTGCCAGGAAGTAAAACCTCTGAAATACTGAACAGTGTGACACTACCATCCACAGGAGAAAACACGGTAGTGCTCTTCTACACTGTGGTCTCCATATTTTTATGCAGTCATCTTCTGAATGACTGCACACACCTGATCCAGGTAATGAGCAGCAGGTAGGGCAGGGATAGTTGGAAAACAAGCAGGGCAGTGGCACTCGAACACTGGGATTGCCCACCCCTGGATTAGTTTTATAGTTCAGTTATTCCCAGCGGTCTATCCTCCCCATGCATGGTGTATATACAAATAAAACATAAAAAATGTAGGTTATTCCACCTGTTATTAATCATATTAGTCATGTTTGAACTTTGTCTTATCAATCTTGAGCACTTGTCTTATCAATCATTAGACAAATTGGATGGTTGCAAATGTTTAGTAAAGTCTACTGGTATGGTGAGTTATCCTCAGTTAAGCAAATGACTTGTATACTCTATGATTTCATTCTAATTTTCTATGTCTGTTATTTAATCAGTGTCTATTATCACCTAAACCCTCCTCTCTTATACACCAGCATACACCACCACAAGAAAGTAGAAATTAGAATTAGATATTAGGGTTAGTCATCATCAATGTACCTATACCTGACAGGGTTGTATATACAGTACTTCTTGTTATTTGCAATAAATGACTGTGCAGCAGGCCAGTCAAAGATCAGTATCTATTGCAGTGAGACCTTGCCAGACACTATGACATCTTGAGTGTTCTCAGCACAAAGAGCATTCCCAACCTGCAAACTGGGGGGGACTGTTGTGTAAAACAGGATCTAGAATATTACCACCTTATTTTAAAATGGTACAATTTCAAAATGCAAATGTGGAAATATAGAATCCATGCAGGCAAAAGCACAAATGGTCTTATACTTGTATAGCGCCTTTCTATGCTTTTACAGAACACTCAAAGCACTCATGCAACATTAAGTCATATAGACACCTTAGTATCACTCCATGTTTGTTTTTGTCTTCACTGACGGCTATGTTTTAATACAAATCTAAGAAATTTGAACTAATCATTTAAAGCCACAGAGTTTGTAATAAAGGCAAAAGGTAAACATGTTGAATGTGAGGTCTTCAAATAGTTTCATTTGTGGAATAATACAAAAGATGAGCAATTTACAATGATGCAAAACAGAAAAGCAGCAAATGTCCACACATTAAAATGCTTCGCTTGATGAAAAACTTCGTGTTGCTGTCAATTTAATTCCTCTGCACTGACTGAAACAGATGTTTAGCATTAAAGAAAAGTCAGGGTGAACTGTTTAGCCTACTCACTAAAGGGTCGTTCATGCACCAAGGAGCGTTGGGAGATTTCACAAGGAGCATTTGAAAGCAACACAGCACGAAAGTGTTAAATCGTTGCTCCGCCTTTCTTTACCACGAACCAGAGAGACAGCACCTGGGACATTAGTCTCTCTGAACTAATTCAGTGAAGAACTCCGAGCTTTTAGACCTGGGTCACTAGTTTCCTGTCAGGGTTTGTTTTGCCGGAGATGCGTTTGCAGTGCCTGAGCTAACAGCGGCACCGGCTTCCTGTAAAACTACAACACGTGGACGTTTACGGACCGGCTTTACTTTTTACTGATCACAGAGCCATTTGCATTAAGGCGGAGTCCGTAAGTATCTGAAAGACAAATGTGTGATGTAATTCAAAACTCACTATGTGTAGGATGTACTAGTGTCACAGATTAAGACATGAATTACATTGAACTCCCCGTGAGAGCGGGGCAGCGCGCGGCTCCAGATGTCTACTGCGCATGCGCTGTGCCTACAACCTCCAAGTTAATTTAGATGTGTTCGCTTTGTGTTGATTTCAGAAGTTTCATGTTTGGCTAACAGTTATGCCAGCTTCCAGGTAATCCACCACTGAAGATGTTAGGTTATGTCATCAATTTAAAGGCATTTAGCTAACTTATCTCTTAAGGTTAAGTTTAATGTAAGATTATAATGTTAAGATGACCTGGGAACTACTTTTTAATGGCATCAAGATCAGTACAAAGGGGAAATTTAAATTCTTATCAGTTTGAAAATATTCAACTTAGTAGAGAACTTGAAGCCACACATTCCTAAGATACCTACAGCATAAAAAAATACTTAAAATATTCAACATAAATGTTAAAATACTGAACCCACAACTCGCATAAAACAGTGTAGATCAGCCAACAGTTTCAAGATTAATCTGTAGACTGTTTTGTCAGTGCTTTAACATACATCTCTGATACATCAGTGTTATATCCTGGAATCACTGAGTGTTTCAGGGTGTTTCACACTGGTCACCCCTTTTCAGCCAGAGCCATTTCACCTCTTGGGCTGAAAGATGTTAGAGAATAGTGATAAAACCAATCATCACAGTTTTCCAGAGTTGAAAATTACACGGCTTGTTTTATCTGACCAACAGCGTGTAACCCAAATATTCTCATTGAACGCTGATAGAGAGCAATGATATGAACGAAGCAGCAGTCGTCATATTCAAGAAGCAGTAGTTATGGAATTTTTGGCATTTTCATATAAAAAGAGAATGAAAAGTAGTTACTGTTTCATTTGAGTTTTATTTGTAGTGAGTTTGTATTATAATGTTTTTCATTTAACAAACTCTTGGCTGGTGAAAATATAATGAAACAACCACAACAAAGGCATTTAAATTTTTATTCTGAAAGGCCCAGCACAGAATTTTTTTATTTATATGTTGCAGAGATCATGGACTACATCCCGGATGACAACTCCAGGTACAAAGATGTGGACTACTGGGATGAACGGTACAAGACAGAGCAGTGTTATGACTGGTTGGGCTGTTTCTCCAAATTCAAGCACATTCTGGAAAAACATGTCAAGAAAGAGGATTCTATTCTGATACTTGGTTAGTAGCTTTTTTTAGTATCGCTTCTGTATTTTGGTTGGCACTCTCCTCTCCTTCTCTTCTTACCAGACAAAGCTGTATAACACAAAATTTTGCATATTGTCACCATTTGGCACTGTCCTGGTGGATTGGTGGTCTAAGGTGCTGTTTGTAACTGCAACATCCCTGCTTTGAGGTCCAATGCATGGTGCACGACGGCTCCACTCTTATTCCTTTCCTGTCATCTTTCTGCCCGTTGCTGTTAGATAAAGGCAAGAATGTCCGTCGCCATTTGTCATCATAAATGTCACACACCACTGTCATAGTTGCCAATGCTGTCATTAGCATCGCTTACTGTATACTGCTGTTATATCCTACCAGACGGTCATTTGCATAGAATCTCCTTATATGCTAATGTAGAGGAATGGCCTTGATATAAAAAGCATTCATAGATTTGACACCTGTTTAAAACCCTTCACCAGTCTTTAGGCTGCACCCTGGTCATTTTACAAAGAAACAAGATGCCCTGCTGAAAAATGGCTTTGTGTTTAGTTTTATTTCTGCTAAAAAAAAATTACATAAACATGTTGGTCTGGGAATAATATTGACTTGGCTTTCTGATTGTTTCTTGAAGCAACACTAACGTTCATGGTGTTGGAGTAAAATTTTGTCAAATGTCCACAAGGTGTCACTGTTCCATTAAAATTAAATCCAGTTCTTTGCACGCAGCACTACCAGCAGGGCCTGCTTTCTGTTTTAATGGCCCTGCAGCTCTGTAAAACATCCTAAAAAAAACACTTGAAACGTGAACACACTGTTTTGGCAGCTACACATTGAATGTGATGGGATGGGATTTAGAGCTGTGCAAAAATATGAAGCAGGTGGCTTTAGAGCCAAATGACAGATTCTTTGGTGCATTTGATTCAGCACATCAAGTGCTCGTGGGTTTTTGTTAAATGTATTTTAAGCCATAGAAAGAATTTATTTGTTCATCATTTCTGTGTTAAATAGCTATTTTCTGCTAGTGTGCAGATATGAACCTGTGCAACATTGACTTGTCTTGGGCAATTAAAAGATGGTAAAGAAGTTGTTTTTATTCTTGTTAAATCGGTAGGATGAGTTATAGGCAGATGCTGAAACTCCAGCTTTCTAGTCCTTTGTTCTTAGTGTGTTGTACCACCACAGAAGCATAGAGGGCGATGGCAGTGTGTCTCTTTCTGATGCCAGCCTTGTTTATGTAAGCACAGTGGCGTTTATGAGTGTATGTGAGGCAGTTTGTTAAAATTGTGTCAGGGAGTGACAGGAGCTTTCTGCTGTGTGTGTGTGTGGACTACAGTGCCAACACACAGACAACTCTATTATGCCTGGAGGTCTTCCTTTGAAATTTGGATGAGGATGCTCTGGTACCCTGCTCGTCAGAAACCGTATTTTGCAGCACTAAGGCTGAACATTGATGGACAGACGCAGATAGTGTGTGGCCTCCCTTTTTCTGTGTTACAGCAGAGGTGTGAGTGGGCTCAGAGCCTCTGGATTGTGACATATAAAGTATCTTCTTTTGTGTCTTTACTGCATTACACTGCGTCGGGTGAGACCTGCAGAGGCCACTTTCTGCATGCTGATTTAAACCCAAAGCCATTATATCGCTGGAGAGCTCTGATTTCAGAGGGCATCTCTCGTCCTATCTCGCTCCTCTTTCCAAATCATGGAATCATGTTTCTCTCACCGGTCCATGCTGCCGTCATTTTCAGTAACCGTGCGCAGATAAGGAGCTGCAGAGTGACGTGTTCTGTAAAAATGTGTGAACACTCACATGTCGTATGAACATGAGAAGTTCCTAAAAGCTTGAACAAATGCCTACCACAGTTGCACCCATTTCCCCACCCACGTTGTCAACTCACAGATGATCTATTGGCTCCTATAGAACAACACAATACAGCACAGCCACTACAGCCAGAGTGCTGTTTGTGTGTGACGAGGGGATAAAGGACAGAGAGATGGAAGGGAGCTAAATAACTAATCAGGTTTAGGCCAGTTAACTGTCTCAGATGGAGGTCATATCCATTAAGACGATCTGCATAGCACAGTGAGAAAGATGGAAGGGGGGCTGCAGAGAAGAGGACAACTAGTGTCTTCCTGCATGATGATGACATTTTTAATCTTTCTTTTTAATTGGTTTGTTGTTGTTTTTAGTTCTTGTCCTATGCCTGCTATACAGTTTCATTCGTGTGTCCCTCCATGCACCTGTTTCTAACCCACTCCTTGCCAACTGCTTTGCTAATATCTGGAGAGACCAGCTTCCCCTTTGCCCTGCTTTTGCTGCCTGTCTTCCTAGTAACCTACATGGGTGATTCTGTCTTACTTTTGATCACTACATCTTACTGTAGTTCTGGTCTTGTGATCATCAGATTACCTTATTTCTTCTTTGGGATAGTCAACAAATGAAAACGCCAACATTAATAATGAGAGGTTGCTCCTAACAAGTATTTTATGTGTATCCAAATCTTAACCCTCTGTGTTGCAGAGCTCTATTGTTGTTCTAAATCTATTAAAAGACATAAATGTTGTAAGAGGGATAAAGCATTCACCTTTACAAATGTAAAAGGAAGAAACTGGATGACAGCCCTTCGTTTTTTTTGTTATGCAAGGATGTATTTATTATTGATCCTCCGGTGCCTCACGATCAACAAGGTGGTAAACTCATTCATAATGGCATATCCTGTTTAGAAGCCGCTCTGCCCACTCAGACACCCACTTCAGCTACAGTGACATTAGGTCAGTGTTGTTTCAGTTTTTAAAAAAATGTTGCTTATTTAACAGAGTGCAGTGACCTTTCGTGGAATAATGATATGGATAACCAGAAGTAAAATTGTGCTTCACTAAAATTTAACATACAGTAAACACTGAAGTGGTAAAAGTTAGCAAGTAGACTACATTTTGTCAAAGTGAATATCTCAGAGTTTTGGACTCTTTTGGACAAAACTAGTTATTCAGGGACATCATTTTGTGTGTGATTGAGAATATAATTGGCACACTGACAATAAAACTGTTTGGTGCAACTCTATTGTGTCTGCAATAGATACTGTATGTACAGTAAGGCATGTTTTAGCTCATCTGCTGCCATTGGCCGGTCACTCTCTGATTTCCTTTAGCTCCTGAGGGTGATGTTTATTGCCAAAGGAGGAGTTCAAGTGTTCAGTCAGCTGTTGGGGAACTATGTATGGCCCAGTGCCTCAGTTACACGGACATACCTTTTTTATAAAGAACATTACTACATGCTTGCAACAATGTGACCTCTTAAAATCATCTCACGCCCGCTCCCTTCTTCCCCCCCTCCTTCATGTTGATCTATCACCTCCTGATGCTCCCTCCATTTGTTCCTTGTTGACTGTTGCCTCACTTAGGCCCCCCCCCCTCCTTAGACCACCAATCCATGCCCCTGTTTCTGTGGTGATTAGAAATGCACATACACATGTGGAAAAAAAATGTTGATGGAAAGTGACGGGCAACACAGAGCATGAGGGCAGAGTGACAGGATTTTGAAGCCAGGAGTGAGCAGCTGTCAGAAGGTCCAGCTGATATCGGTTACAGTGTGCTTCTTCTCAGGGGAAATTCCACTCTTGTTTTTAAACTTGAGTTTCAACAATGTTCTGAGTGTTGGGGATTAGTGAAGTACATGTAATTAAACTGCATTATGCAGTAGCTTGCTGGTAGTTCAACGACATTCATAGAGTATAAAAGAGGTAGTTTTTTTAATTTTATTTTTATTCTACCCAGTGCCAGTCAGAACCACCTGTTGGATAAGAACTTTGAGAGACTCTTTCATGCGTCGTATAAACAAGATGACCGGCCTTTTGTCTCTTTGTGTTTCTCACTCTGCACACAGACAAGCACATGCATGCACACAACCTCCTCCCCGCACTTGGAATAACAGCAGTAGTGATGGCTGCGAGGAACAGGCAGCGTTCAGAGGATGAACTGAGCTAAGGGACAGGCCCCGGCCATTTCACGCTTGCCCTTCCTTTTATAGATTGCAGCCCTTCCTTCCTGTGGTGGTTGGAGGCGGAGCACGTCCGATCAGATAAGCTTGTATCAGCTCTGTCCTCTCGTGTCACTGCCATAGTTTGTGCTGGCACTGGTGATCCAGCAGTCTAAGAAATATATCATTTTTACCTATTTAGCAGTGGCCTGGTTCTGCTTTGACTGCATGGTCACAGAGGCTCTGCCAAGCTCTGATGAGTTTTTATGTTAATCAGACAGATGTCATGTTCTTATCACTGGCCACACTGAAGCATATCCTGTTGTCCGTCCTGTTGGGTCATAATAAGCAGCAATGAGGTAGAAACCTGGTGTTACATTGGTTTTGCCGAGAACAAAGGTAGTAGAGGTTGTTTTCCCTGCAGCGTCCTTCCTCTGGCCTCAACCAGACACATGCATCCTAATGCGCCAGCAGATGGGCGGACGTGCAAACACCATTCTGTGTCTGCCTCTGGATGTGTGAATGGAGTGTGGTTTGAATGAATGAGTGGCTGTATTGGTGGATGAATGAATGAAAGAGGAACAGAGGAGGGTGTAGTTTGAGGCAGATGGATTCTTACCCCAAATCCTCTCTTCCTGCCTTTCTCTCCCTCCCCTCTTCTAAGGATCCGGATTGGCTGTTTTGAGGGAGCCCTCATCATACAGCAGTCAGTAAGTCAGTAGGGGCTACCCTCCCTCCATCCTGCCCTCTCCTCCCTTCCCCTCCCCTCCCCTCCTCACTACCTTTTGCTGCTGTTAGGAGTGGTGCTGTTTATGAATGAGCCTCAGAGCCGCAGAATGTGAATGAAAAATGAGAGAGGGAGCGAGCAGACTGGGGGGTACGGGCTGAATGAAATGCAGTAAAGCATGGAAGAAAAACGAAGAATGGATGCTGAATGAAAATCACATGGGTAGGAGGGAGCAGAGGAGGGGGAGGGGGTGGGGGAGGTGTAGGGCGATAGAAATTAGTAGAATATGAAATAGGCGCACACCAGTTGCTCTGTCCA